CTCCAAATCCCAGCAACGGGTGGTCTCCAGAACCCGCAGATCATCAGTCAAGGAGGAACAATAGAGCTCTGACTATGTTTACATAGGCAGAGCTCTGTTCTGACAAGGGGGAGTGAGCGATCAGATGGCAGAGCAGAGCAGGCAACACAGTCCATCACTTCCCCTTATACCAGCACCACCTAGTGTACACCAAACACACTTAAACCTTTGATCACCCTAGATGTTAACCTTTTCCCACCTAGTGCAATTAGTACAGTGATCTGTGTATATTGGTGTATATTTTTAGCACTGATCACTATATTAGTGTCACTGGTTCCCACAAAGTGTCAGTTAGTGTAAATATGCCCACCACAATATCACAGTCCCGCTATCAATGTCTGATTGCCACCGTTACTGGTCTATTAACCAAAAAAATTCCAGTATATGTCCCATAGTTTGTAGATGTTATAACTTTTGCACAAACTAATCAGAATATGTTTATTGGAATTTTTTTTACCAAAATATGCAGCAGAATACATTTTGGCCTAAATTTATGAAGAAATTTGATTTTTTACATTTTTTATTGCATTTTTTATAATAAAAAAATATTGGGTTTTTTTTCCAAACTTGTTTTTTTGCTTATAACTCAAAAAGTAAACACCGCAGAGGTGATCAAATACCAATAAAGTAAGGCAGACCTGAAGGAGAACTAGTCCCTCAGTTACCATCAGGCTCTGTGCACCCCTAGTACAAAGGTCTTCAACCATGCACCTATCAGTGTGCTAGATGCAGTAACAGGGGAGGGGGGGAGTGCAGTGAGGAAGGAGTATTCAGTATGGACACACCAACCATAGTGCCAGCATCAACAGATTTATGTATCTGTATGTGACATCATATATGTAATTAAAGTAGTCAGGTACATAAATCAGGCAAAAGCACTGTCATGTTCAGTACTGCGCCCTGAAGGTATTTTAAAGGGTGTGTAAGACAATTTCCCCAGACCATGTCCACTGAAGTTGTGGCTCAACAGAATAATAAACCTAATAAGCACTTGCAACACATTAAAATAATTTCTGCCTATAAATTCTAATCAGCAACATGACACCTCCCAAAATGTATTACACCAGCAGTAAGCCATGTATCACCCCCAAGGTAACCTCCTGGGAGAACAGCTTACAAAGGGATGTGGTATGCTAAAATGTATGTGTTGCTAAATGAGTTTGGTGAAACAGGTAACATGGAAATTAAAATAGAAATGCTTCAGCAAAGACCTATTGTCCATTTTTCCATGCCCAGTACAATAGATTATAAGCGCAGTTGTTCACACCAGCAGCATTGGGGTGGATTGCTTAACACAGTTCTGGCACAAAAGGAAATTTGCCCTAGGTCCTATAATTTTGGTTCACACCAAGGTATTGTGTTAGTGGGTCCTGAAAAAAATAGGACTTTACATTTAGGGACAATGCAATGTGTTACAATGTGCTGTAACACATTATTATGCATTGTCCTGCATAAGAATACTAGCTGTGAAAAATATAATAAAAAAGCAGCACACACCAATGTGCTGTGACACTCACATCCACCCGTCCAGTGATGTGGGGGATGAGGCCAGTGCCAGGAAGGCTAGTTGGTATTTTCCAGAAGGAGGGGGGGGGGGGTGCTGCACATATGCTGTCCTTCTCTTTCTTGGCCAGCAAGGTTGTATGCCTAGATAAGGGTCTGCTATTAATTTTGGGGGCCACATTATTTTTTGTTTTTAGTGAAGGGTCCCAATTAAAATCCAAAAAGTATGCCTGCAAATTGGGTCTGGAAAAGGCCAGAAAAAAATTACAAGATTCTGCTCCCCTACCTTTACCAGGGTTTGGTTCAGGGGCGGACTGACAACTCATGGGGCCCCTGGGCAATAGAGGATCATGGGGCCCCTGTGTCCTTGCCCAAACTCAAAAAAAGCCTATGCAAAAGGTACCAGGGGCATCTCATAAGGCCCCCTATTGACCCTGGGCCCTCGGGCAGTGCCCGAGTTTCCAAATGGTCAGTCCACCCCTGATTTGGTTGCATGTTCAGGGTTTGCAGATCATTTTCAAGTGTTTGTTGAAAGTCCAGTGAACCAAACTTTCTTCACTCACCATTATTATGATATTATTGTGTGTGCTTTACAGGAATATTTTAACCAAAGTAACATGTAAATGACAAGAAAATCATTGTTTTGCATGCTTTTATGTAACATCAGCTAGCACCATAGCTTATTGCCTTTACAATAACTTCTGTAGTGCCACCCTTGTAAGAACCTCAGGCCCTCTGCCACACCAGGTTGAGTGTTCAAACACACAATATTACAGGAAATCACTGAAGGTAAACCCTAGCACCCAACAGTAGTGCACCAAACCAGGTAGTAAAGTCAAACTTAATATATTGTCACTGAATTTGGTTGGTAACTAGGAAGCATAAAATTGATCAACAATGGTAATAGCACAATTTATTACACAAAGTTATTAACAGTAAGGAGTAGGCAAAAGATGACATTTGGTGTTCAGATCAGCATAAATATTAGCAAGGCCACCTCAAAATGTTTTTTTCTGCAGGATATTGTTGGGACCCTTTAAGAGTGTTGGTGCACTTAATGACAGTGCCAATTAACCTGCATGCAGTATAAATACAGTATAGGTGTGGTATAGTCTCAGCACAGTCTAGGTATAGTCAGGTACAGTCTAGGTTTGGAATATATGCTGTATACGGTGCAGTGTGGGTGCAGTATGGATTTGGTACACTTGGTGTCCTGCTCTGAGTGGCTCAGTTCCAGCTAGCAGTATCAGCAATAGTCAAATAGCCCTATCACCAGAACCCAGGATGCTGTGTTAACCTCTAGCTGTAGTAGGGGAGCCCCCTCGGTCTCTCCATGAAAGCCTCTGGTGATCAGTGGTGGGAGGCAGAGGGTGCGTAGACACTCCAGTTTCCCCATGGAAATGGTGCAGATGCTGTAATGTGGGTAGTGCTGCGCTGACACCCCCCCCCCACACACACCCATTCTCATGCTTGGATCTCTGGTATGGTCTCCAGCTGGCAGACAAATATTCAGACAGAGGTGTTTACTCTCCAACTCCCTTGTTGCCAAGAGGAAGAACTTCCTGGGCAGTTTAATAAGAAATATTCTCCTACTGCACAGTGCATATTGGGTTTGTAGTGTAACAATTATAGGGTAGCCATTATATGGTTGCCATCTCAAACTACAACTCCCAAGACTCTCAGCGCTCTGCATAAGGGTCTATGGGCTTGCTTGGCCTTGGTTCCTCCTGCTGACCAGTGAAGGATGGTACAGCATAACATCAGTATCTCAGTAAAAGGAGAGAGGAATAAAGGGCAATGTCTCCATCACCATATTGCTGTAGCCCAGCACCTGGCTACACATGTAAAGATAGGTAATATTAACTCACAAGAGATTCTGCAGAAACCTACATTGCTGAATTTCCTGCTTAATACAGAAGCAACTTTCTTAGTATTGATACATTTAATGCTTGTTTGATATTCTTTTCAAAAATTATTTTGCTATGAATATAAAACTACTAGCCCAGTTTTTGCTTGTTTCTTATTGTCTATCCATCATTTCTAACCTGTATTTGCTGAAACAATTTTGAATATATTATTTAACTTTTTATATTAGTATAATTTTGTCTGCACTGAACATAACATTGTGTATTAGTAAATATGCAGACTTAGTTTCCATAGAAATGTCAATGTGATTCGACAACAGTTGGCAGCAGAATAATAAGTCTCTCACCTCTTGTTCGCTATAGTTGACATCAGCTATCATCACTAAATAAATTTATTACCAGCTCGCAGATCTGAGGCCCCCTTACTTTCCCGTACCAGTACTGAACTCGCAACAGAACCTCAATATTCCAAACATAAACACAGCACTGAACTTCTTTTGAAAGGGCAGGTCTGACGTGATTTTTATGGGTCACTGCTCAGCACCCTTGCTTAATTCCTATTACAAAGACTATTTGTTTATCATTGTGTTCAGTTGCAAATTGTTTCCAGCCAAGCAGTGCTAAAATACAAATAATATACAAGATATGTATTTATTTTTTTAGCTGATGAAAAATGTAATTTTATCCTTATTACAAATGGTGTACATAATGGTTCAGCAACGATAAAAAATATAAGGACTGTAGCAAACTTGCTCATCAGAGATGGACGCGGAGTTTCCCTTTTTTATTAAAAGTATTCCTCAATCCTTTATTCCCTTCCCCCTCCCTTCCTGACAGGCACAGTGACAGATGTGTGTGTATTAAAAGTCACTGGCCGGTAGAGCCGCAGGGGGCCCAGAACTACAAAGCCCCCCCATGGAGGCAGAGCCTCTCTGTCCAAGGCCCGTGTAAACTCGCCCCTCCTAACCAAGATAAGACAGCTGGTCCCAGGACTTGAAAGAAATTGGAACCTCATAAACCCTACCAGCCAGGTGACAAAATTTAAATGAACATTCCTCAGGTCAGCTGTCACCTATGTTTCAGATCATGGATTATGAAGCTGTCAGTTTTAATGCAGAGCCCATCCGACGATCCCGCCCAAAACAGGGTATTGGCCAGTAATCAGAGCCACCCCCCCTGCAGGGGGACTTTAAAAGACAGGCTGGCAAGCCTAAAGAATTAAGCTAAACACATCTTCCAATTTTAACATCGTAACAGCAGGAGATCAAAGACCCTTCGCTCTGCAACTTGGATCTGCTTACCTTAAGGCTTAACATGGCAAGTAACTTAACCTTTTAACTTCTCCCTGTTATCTCTTTGCTGTGCTGTGCTGTTTTATATATATATATATATATATATATATATATACAGTATATATATATATATATATATCATAGTTATATTTTCTTTGTAAATATTTTATTGCACCTGTTTGACTCTTTTAGTAATAAATCTTTCTTTCTGAAAGTGTTAAACTATTTCTAAGCGCTTACTTGCAATTCACGAATTCCTGCCTTTGAAGAGACGCTACTGTTTGTTTTAATCTCTGTATAACGGGCCCTCGGACCGCGTTATACCGACCATTATTTCAATCATTATAGTGTATTAATTGATAAGGAGAGTTTCCCCTTTCTCTGTACAACAAAAAGTGGTGGTGGCAGTGAAGGGTTAGTTGTAATTAACCCGACCCAGTAACAAGCGCATTCAGGCTGCCGGTGCGTCGATTGCGTTCCATTAGCTGGACAATCGTTCTGCAGAGCACAGCTGAGTGTGGCATTGTTACGCACGTCACATAGCGGTTTTTAGATCGGCCGGTCCTTTGGTCACGAGTTTGGTGAGAAGGTTTGGGGTCTGACGACGCGTCGTGACGTATTGTTGGTCGCGGTCTTGCGATTGTCGCATGTTGGTGGCGGCGATCCGGCGACCGTGACAAGGACTTCTTACCTTCTTTCCTAGTCCATCGCAGCTCCTAGATAACCAAGGTTAGGGAGATGGATATAACTTACGTTTTTTTTTTTGGGGGGGGGAGGGGGCATTAACTAATGTTGTCTGTGCAAAGATGTATTCCAGAACAGTTGTTGGGTGCAGGCTGGATGGGCAGCTGTCAAACAGTGTGACTGGCAGGTACTCTACCCTTGCATTTGTCTGCAGAACTGCATTCTTGAATTCTCACCTATGAATAGTTGCATACTACTAATATAAAAGAACTATTTATGATTAGACTATGACAGATTATTGGATTAGCCAGGAATCAGGGTATACAGTAATTCCAAAAATGTATAACCTCAGATGTTCAAAGTGTTGCAGAGAAGCTTGTTTTTTAACCTGACTAGCAAGTGTATACATACAAAAGAGCAACTACTGTAGTAATGGTGTCGTTCTCTAAATAAATAGAGTGGGCACAATAATTGAACAATGTACTAATTTACCAACTAATACAGCAACATAGCAAACACTTGTGTTCTAGCAATAACCAGCTATACCGCACCGCCTCAAATAAAACATAACTATAAACTAAGCAGGTATAGTTTACCAAAAATCAATACTATATGGCCATGTTAACAAGGGTTCCCCTCTCTACCATCCATGGTGGAATTCTTATCAGAGGGCTGTACAGCAGAAGCTTACAGACATTCAGGAGGAAACAATGCTGCCTCCTGAAGTACTTTTTTTTTTTTTTTTTAGCCAAACTGGGATTTTCTGTTGGAATACAGTGCCGAACCACAAACCAAGTTCTTTACTTGCAGTTGTGGCATGGCCCAATCGGTACATAACTGGTCCATATAGTGAACTTGGTGTAGAGGTAATCACTTTCAGGTCAGTTACAGAGGACCTTACATCTGGAGGAAAAGAGATTTAAAGCATAACTAAAAGCAACATTTTATTTTTAATTTTGAATAGAGTGGAGAGGGATTAGAACCCCTGTCAGTTTTTATTGCTGTCTAATTGCCAACTGTCAAAGCAGACATCTGCACTGATAATCAGGGCACTGGTTATCAGTACCCTGATTATCAGTGCAGCCCCAAAAGTGCCTAACAATGCTGCTCATCAATGCTCACCAGTGCTGCCCATCAGTAACCATCAGTGCTGCCGATCTGTGCCCCTGTCAGTTCTGCCAGTCAATGCTGTCCATCAGTGCTGCCAATCTGTGCCCCGTCAGTGCCCCCTGTCAGTTCCACCAGTCAGTGCCATCAGTCAGAGCTCTCAGTTAGTGCCACCAGTTAGTGCCCTTCAGTGCTACCTATTGGTGCTGCCTATCAATGCCCATCATTGCTACCTATTAGTGCTGCCTATCAATGCCCATCATTGCTACCTATCAGTACCCATCAGTGTTGCATATCAGTACAGCAGCATCAGTGCCTCCTCATCAATGCCCACCAGTGCCACCTCGTCAGTGCTGCCTCATCAGCGCAGCCTGTCTGTGTCCATCAGTGCTGCCTATCAGTGATACCTCATCAGTGCTCATCAGTGCTGTCTATCAGTGCTGCCTATCAGTGCAGCCTCATCAATGCACATCAGTGAAGGAGAGAAAGATTACCTGTTTGCAAAATTTTATAATAAAAACAAAGAAAACGCTTTTTTGGCCTGGGCAGGAATGGGGTAAAAGTGCCCAGTAGGCAAGTGGTTAAAGGGTTTTTGAATTACCAATGTTTGTCCCAAAATTGCATGAAAAGTCCCTCTCCCTGCTGTACAGTATTTAAAAAAAAAATCTTTTTTTTTGCATTGGTACTTATCCCCCATGACAGCACCCAGCTGCCTATTCCTTGTTTGACAGTAGTTTGCCTATTAGCCTTAAAAATGTACATAATTTAACAAGATCCTGTTAGGGTAAAGGCTTTTCTACAAACATTTCCATCTTAAATCTTGATAAGACTATTCATTATAAATATTTATTGATGAGCATTTGTTATATTTAGTAGATAATATTTTCCATCATCCATTAGATAGTAGAGGCTATGCAAACCAAAAAGGACAACCTTCTATGCTCAAGGTAAATGTTTCGGCTTTGGATTTTTAACCACTCAAGTTTTGCCAAAGACTGGGGAAGTCCAACAGAAACACTAGAAATACAAAAACAGAGTGTGCATTATACTGTATATGCAGCATTGTAACTACCTTTTTATATTTTTATATATATATATATATATATATATATATATATATATATTCCAATGAGTCACCTCCCTTCCAAAAGTTTCTTGCTCAGTAGTTAGAGTATTTTACTTTACTAGAAAACATCTTGTGACATGCACAACAGTTTCAAGTCTCCGGGCACTTCCCATTGTCTTGTGCATTACCTTTTTAGATCCTTTTATTGAAATAATAAAATAGATATATATTCACAATTAGCATACAATCTCAAGCTCATGAATATTTAGTGTACTGCACGAACTGATCCACACCAACCACAGGAAGAGACTCAGAATGGCTGGGGAATCAAGGGTGGTCCCCTCTTCCTCACAACCAACTTGAAATGTGTCAGCCATTCTGAGTGTTCCTGTGGTTGGGATTCGCGCAGTGGACAAGGTCACGCAGGACACTATGAATATTGATGAACCTGGCATTTTATGCTGTGAGTGAGTATACTTCTATATTACATACACAGTGTGTTATATAAAAACATTGCTTTATGAAAAGCCATAGAATTTGATCTATGGGTCTGTCATATCAAGTTTTATACAACTTTCACCCAATTTCACATATTTTCCCAATTTCATCTAATTAGGAAAAAAGCATGAAGCTTGAGTAAAAGTGAAAAAACGTTTATAAATAGACGCTTTGTTTAAAGTGACTCTAAGCCTATTTTTATCTTTAAAATAACAAACATGTTATACTTACCTGCTTTGTGCAATGGTTTTGCCCAGAGCAACCCTGAACCTCCTCCTCTCAGGTCCCCTTGCTGGCACTCTGGGCTCCTCCCCCCTGCCATTTGCCCCAATAGCAAGCAGCTTGCTATGGGGGTACTCATGTGTGCTTGCTTCTGAGCCTGCTCTGTGTGTCCATTGACACGCATAGCACGTGAATGGCTGTGATTGACAGCAGCAGGAGGCAATGACTCCCACTGCTGCCTTTCTGCCCAATGAGGAGAGAGAGAGCCGAGTGAGCTCCAGCTTTTGTGCACGTTGCTAGATTGAGATCGGGCTCAGGTAAGTATTTATGGGAGAAGGCTGGTGGGGAGCCGCATGCAGAAGGTTTTTTGTCTTAATACATAGAATGCATTAAAGTAAAAAAAAAACTTCTGCCTTTAGAACCACTTTACTAAAACTGACACTAACTCTATTTAGAAGCAAACTTGACAGAGTACATTTGTTCTTATCCCTGCAGCACATGAAAAAATACTTTTATGATGTGTTATTTTTTTGAAGGTCAATCCTGCTTTCAGCAGCACAACTTGACCTTGTGCTTCCATCCATCTTTGCTTCAAACAAGATATTGTTCAGCGCAGGGACCTGCTCTGCATTGAATTGAATGAACAAGCTATCTCCCAGGAGCAGAAAGACCTTTTTTTAAAATGAATTCAGTTATTCCTTAAATAATTGGGAAGTGATGTTAACCTGAGAGAACAAGGTAATAATAAGTGGCATACCTTAATGACCACCATAAAAAGGGGACAAAAGGAGATAAAACGAGCACGGTGAAAAAAGTGATGTGGAGCAGACATAGAAAAAAATTAGGCCTATGCAGTGTCCATGCAGACATAATAGCTTATACTAAGTACGGTAAGACCTAACAATAAGCAGTCTTGCTTTTTAAAATCTCTTTCAAATTTATCTCCAAAAAGAGAAAAAAGTTCAAAACAGAGAAAAAGTCCAACTGTCCCAGCAAACACAAAGGTGGTTGTAGTGTAAATCAAGTGAAAAAAAAAAGGTGGCCTCCTCAGTTGTCAATATCCTCTTTTTTGCTACAGTGTCTACACTGCAAATAGTGCATAAACAAAGACACCAGCAGTTATTAGACCTAAGAAGAATAGATCTAATGGTCTTCTTTCAATTTGTAAATTCTGTAACACCTCAGGTGTTCCAACATTCCTCCAAACTCCAGCCATCCCGTAAATCTTTTGTTTCTTTCATCTTGTCTATCCATAGGACCTTCACATCTTAGATATTGCTCTAAAAGGAGTTGTTAAGTCAAACCCAAGAAATCCATTATGTCTCAGGGAAGTCTGCTGTTAGTTTCATGAATCCAGAGGCTTTTGTGTGTTTGTTTTTTTTCTCATCCCATAGCCTGGGAATAAGTAGAATATTATGTCTGCATCTGTTAGAGCAGAATAATAATTGTGCCACTTCCAAAGCATTCAACTGATAATGTTTTTTTGGCATTTTTAAAAATATATTTGTGAGTTTTTGCATACCAGTGTTTTGTACACTGCTCAAAAAATGTAAAGGAACACTCTTTAATCAGAGTATAGCATCAAGTCAATTAAACTCCTGGGATATTGATCTGGTCAGTTAAGTAGCAGTAATCATTTTCAGCTGCTTTGGTGTTAATGACTGTTTTTCACTATTTTTGCTTTTGGCTAGGGTCAGTGTCACTACTGGTAGCATGAGGACACCTGGACACTACAAAGGTTGCACAGGCAGTCAAACTCCTCCAGGATGGCACATCAATAAGGTTTGCTGTGTCTCCCAGCATAGTCTCAAGAGCATGGAGGAGATTCCAGGAGACAGGAAGTTATTCTAGGTGAGCTGGACAGGGCCATAAAAGGTCCTTTGCCCATCAGCAGA